ACCTCCCCTGCAGCGGTACGGCCTCACGGAGTCCAGCCGCCCAATCACAGTGGTCGAGGCACCACGCGCGCCCACCGGGCCCACCGCACCACACGCACTATATTGCATTACTGGCGCTCGGGACACGCGAAAGAAACGAGCTAGTTAATTCGTTGTTTACGGTCGTTTTGTGTTTTCGGCATTGGCGCAGTAACGGGACGCCAGCTCGTTTGGCTGCTGCTCGGAGCAAATAAGCCCACTTTATTGGTTTGAGTCGGGTAACCAACTTCAACCAGATGACATAAGTTATGTCAATTGAAGTCGCGGCCCGTCGTCCCGCCGGGCGGCCGAGTCTTGCGCGCGCGTCGCTCCCGCCCGGCCGGCCGCCAGTCAGGGGAGCCAACTAACTGCCCTTAGACATTCGCAAGCATCGGCACACCGCTCGGGCTGGGCCGGGGCCGGCGGGCACGCGTCCGCAAGGAGCTGCTGCAGCGCGCCCCCGCCGCGCCGCTGGCACGACCGAGGCCCCCTGCCGCTGGAATCACAACAAGAAGGCCGTGAGCAGCACGTGTGAACGTTTGCTTTGGCTGCGATCGGTAAATGAGGCGAGGCACGAAGCCCATTGTGTTTCCCGAGCCCCTCCACTCCACGCGCACCCCGCGCGCGCGCTCGCCGCCCCGCCCCGCCCCGCCACCCCGCGGACCGCATGCTGGGGTTTACTCTGCGGCTACTTGCGGCCCGGACATCTGTTTGCAGCACTAGCGGGGCAGCGGGCCGTGAAAACAGCCAAACAGCCCCGCGCACACCATTTCGAGCGGGATGAAAAATTACGAAGCAGCCAACCACCCGACCACCCCTTTCTTCCAAGCCTTTCCTTCTCTTTGCTTCCGGTCCCTCTTCCTCTCGTCCCTCCCCCCCCTCCCCCGGTTCGTCTGTCCTCTCGCTCTCTCTCTCTCTCTCTCTCTCTCTCTCTCTCTCTCTCCCTCTCTCTCGTCAAGCGAAGAGCCGTCTCTGCTGCCGGGCAAGTCGCGGAATAATGCGAGAAACGAATTCACTTTAAAATCTTCCCGACGTCAAATCGAATTAGAAACGTTCGCCAAAAGAATACATCTGAAACGCCGCGCCGGCGGCAGCGGCAGTCTTCCTCGCCGCTCCCTCCGTTCTCATAAGACATTTAACGATTCCTCTGTAATTCGGCGCCCAGCGGTGCAAACGAGATGGCACAGCCTCGGCGCGGCCCGGCCCGCCCGTCTGCCTAGCTGACCTCGCTTCCTTCTCAGGAGGGCTTCAAACCGACGTTATTGTTTATTTGTTTGTTATTTCTCCGTCATTTGGACGGTTTTTCTTTCTTCATTTTCCAACGTACTAAAATAATCATCTCGTCTTCTCCTTGTTCTGCCTTCAGGTCTCGACCGTCCCAAGGATGTTCCTCCAAGGCTTCTGCTGCCCCCAGCCGGTCGCCGTGGACCCCAGAATCAACTACGGCAACCAGTCCAACCCGTGTAAGTAGTGGGGTAAGCCTGCGCTGGTGCTACCCCGCGCTACCCCCTCCCTCCCCTAATCCCATGTTCGAACCATTAGGGCGAGATCGATCCACCGCCGACGGCTTCTGCTGCAGTGTCTAATGCAAATTGCCTGCTATCAGGATCGAAAATAAAACGTTGTAGTCGGGCGGCCGCCGCCGTGGGCCGCCTCCAGGGACCGTCCGCCACCCTGGGGACGGTGGCGGGGCGGGGCAGTCCCGGGGGCGGGCCGGGGCTGCCTCCTGAAAGGGGTGCGGAGCTGCTGCTGCGGGGTGTTCGACGAGAGCGATTTCAAGGACGGGCCGGGCCCCACCCTTTTCTTGCAGTGCAAAAATGTGTTGGTCAGAAAGCTCTTTGAGGTTACAACGTCGTTTCTCCCTCCTTGAGGAAGCGCCCGCCTCTACCCTCCCCCTCCCCTTCCTCTCTCTGCCTCTCCCTCTCTCTCTCGGCCCTAAGGATCACTATTTGATTAGGCTGGCATCGGGTCCGATGATCATCCTCCCCGAGGCGTGAGCCCATCAGCTGGCAGGTCCAGCGCGGCGCGGTGCGGAGCGGCGCGGTGCGGAGCGGCGGTGCCCCGGGCTCGGCTCCCTCGGCGTGTTTGCCCCGCTCCTGCTCCTCGTGTGGTTCGTACAGTAGTGGCGGCCTGTTTCATGTGGGCCTCACCCCCCCCCCCTCGCGGGCGCGTCAGGCGGCGACAGATTAACAGGCTGACATGGCGGCATGGCACCGCCGGGCCCGGGCGCGCTAGTCCGCGCGGGGCCGGGCGGCACGACTAACCTAACCCCTCATCCGCTCGCGGTAATCCCATAGTCGTCATTACGGGGTGGGGATCAGGACGACAAGTGTCCACTCCAGTCTGCGACACGCACTAGAGGAGAGAGTGTGGGTGGCGAGACTGGAAGGAGAGAGGGAGGAGGGAGGGAGGAAGGGAGCGAGAGAGCATGAGAGTGAGAGAGTGAGAGAGAGGGGGGAGGGAGCGAGGGGGGAGAGCCAGCGAGAGAGAGACAGAGACAGAGAGAGGCAGCAAGGGAGAAGGTGAGCAGAAGCTTTGGTCCAGCTGATGTGAGCAGGGGCCGCCGTAACCTAAGTGGCCGGAGGGAGCGAGAGAGAGAGAGACAACAGGTCCTGATAGAATTATCCGGTTTATTCAATGAAGACAACCATCGGGCAGGGGGGAGGACAGGACAGCAAGCAGAGAGCGGGCCTGGCGGCTGTTCCCGTGCGCAACGCACGCACACGACACGCACGCGCGTGCAGCTAGCAGCAGAAAGCACGACACTTGCAATTACAGGACACGTCCGCACGTTGTTGTTGTCGTCTTCTTCGTCTGAGGTATCCGCCCCACAAAAAAAAAGAAGTGGAAGAACGAGCGATGTCACGCTAAAGCAACCCAGCGGCCCGAGTGACAGGGGAGTGGGGGCATCACCGCTTTAGCAAGCTACATAGGCACGTAAATTTACGAGCTGGAGTACATAATTCGACAACGTGTGAGCACGGTAGTCGAGCGATTACTAGTCCATTACGAGGGCGGGGAACTCTTCGCCTCCCCACGAGCGCCCCCTGCTCCAACCCCTACCTCCCCACCCGCTCGGTCGGGTGGCTTGAAGAGGGGGGGGGGGATGCCATTCCCCATTCCGTTTGATCGGTAATGGACCCTCATAACAGGTTGAGCACTGGTTTTCCAGGATACAGGGTTGTGGGTCCCACAATTTGCCATACGTATATATATAGCTGGAGAGAGAGAGAGAGAATCCATTGATTTATTTACCGAAATGAGATTAAGATTTGCTTAGAGCCACTGAATCGATAAGCGATGTGTCGACACGTGAGAGGAGTGTAGAGCGGTATTAGCCGCGCGGGTTTATCATTTTCGCGCGAGAGCCGAGAGAGGTTCGTGTCGGACAGGGCTCGGGTGGAGCAGAGCAGGGCGGGGCAGGGCGGGGC